GAGGAATGAGAGAAGAAGAAGATCGGTGCATCGGTGCCCTCGCTTTCGTCTTGGGTGGTCCGCGTTTTGTTTTCTACTTGTTTTTAACTGCCTCGGAATGCCTCCCCGCGCCGCCGCCCGAAGAGCCGCGCCGAATTAAGCGCGCGGCGGCCGCTTGATCTACCGGGCAGGAGAAACGAATAATCAACGTCGGACCGGCCGCAGAGGAAGGCATAGAATAAAGGAGCGCTGCTGCGTCTTCATGTCGTTTCCACGTACATCCATCCTGCTCCAGCGCCCACGAGTCCACACGAATCCAATTATCTGTTATATCCATGTCGGCTATAACTTTATAATGCGAGAGAAATTCGAGCTGGATTTTTTTTCGTTTTTTACTCGCTCGAACGCGCACAGCTTTTATTTTTTATTTTGCTGCTTCTTACATAAACCACAATTTATTTCGTTTCGGTTATCCGAACACAGATGGCCAACCATTACTAAATTCACTCGAAAAAATTAATTATATTATAGGCAACCAATTATGCAACACTAGTTTATAAAATGACAAACATATAAAGTTGCCTATGTTACAATAAAATATCGCTTCTGGTTTGATTTTTTTCTTTCATGCGGGGTTTTTGCACGCATCGTAATTATAATAATTAACCCGGAGTTAATTGCATGTTATTAAGCACTTCGCCGGCGTGCGTGCGATTGCGCTCGTAAACAATCAATACGTTCATGACGAACGCTTCCCGCCGCACCGGCGTTCGGCTACCAGCCCGCCTCGTTAATAACTAATTAATTAATTAAGCGCGCGCGGCCGACAGTGGTGCCGACGCTAAATCACGTCGTTTATTCGTAATTCGTGTGATTCTCGTCCTATTAATTGTTTCAGATAAGCAGCAGTTAATTAGTAACGCATTTAAATGTTCGGCAGTTAATGAAATCGAAAATTGGATTTAATTAAGCATTATCTCTATCTATCCATCCGAAATAATGAGATGATTTCATATAATTAATTATATTAAATTAATTATTATCAACAAAATAATTTTTTATTATTTCTTTTGATTAATGTGATAATTTGATTGAAAATTGACCATAAATAATCCGATTTAATAACGAAGTGTCGCGGATGATGGCGTGTTTATTGATTTATATCACTGTTGTGAAGTTTCATTGACTCTTGATCAGTTTTATTAGCGTCTTGTCTAATTTATTCAAGTGGAACTTTTGCCTCGTTAAATGTCAATCAAACTCGCACTCAAAATCACACACATTGTATACTTACGCAATAAATACGTCATGTGATGTATGCAACTTTGTTTACACCACTAGCTGAGAAATGTGCGTGCATAAAAAGTTGCCTATACGGATTTAATTTGTACTGGCACATAATTCATGCCACTCGACTTGCAATTGGTTGGTTTTTCGTGCGTTGAGAGTGCGATAGCGCTGGCTCATTGGCTTCAATCGATTCATACACAAATTATAGCCATATGGACAGCCATTATGCTGCGCCTGAGCGTGCGGTCTCCTTCCCGAAGCCATTTAATACCCGATTGTGATTGTTGTGATTATTGTGATTATTATGATTTGTGTGATTTGTCGAGTTGAGGCCTCTATATACATAGTAAGAAACTTTGATATACAACGTCGGTCGTAAAGTCACAGGTCAAAACGATATTTCACTTTAACGCAATTGACGCATGCAGATAACAATGGCGCTGTTTTCATCTTTAATTGATATATTACTCAAGCCAATTGGCTTTCAATAAATAAATATTTACAACTAAAAAATTAATTGTACAGTTGTAGATTGTTGATTGTACCGTTGTAGTGTTGGGTTTCAAATGTCGAGGAAAGTCAGTAATTATTCACGGACGTTTCGCGCTTGATTAATTCATTAAAACCAAGTCAATTTCAGGCGAGTTGAAGCGCGTCATGTGCTGTGATTTGTTTTTTCCTTGTTTTGCGACGTGTGCATGCGTTCTCTTTTGATTGGCGTTACAAAACCGGCTTGATTAATTCGCTGTGTAATTGATTTATGCAATTAAAAATTATTGCTTAATTATCTATTTAATTTTTAGAGTATCAAGTTACAAGCTTATAGAATTACACGTTTATATCTCAACAGTAGCGCCATCTATTTGTAAAGTAAGTACTATTTTAACCTAAAAAAGAAATTTTGAGGTTAGTTTTCGTATTTTTACATAACATTTACATACAAAAGATTTTTGTTAATTTTTCCATTTTCCTTTGATAAAACATGCTGTAATGTCTGATTTTCTTATATAAAGAGATTGGACATAGATAATGGCGCCACCTACATTGCAAAATTGCCATTTTTAACCTAAAAACCAATTTTAAAGTCAAATTTTGCTAATTATGATTTTATATTCAATATTTTTGCAAAAATAAAATATTTCACTGAATTATAATAAAACATTTAATGTTTTTTTCATATTTTAAAAGAAAATTTATGATATTTTACAAAATATCAACTTTTTCTTGGATAATAAAAGCGTTAACGTGTTATTTTGTTATTTTCCTTGAACGTATCCACTCGTGGCAGAGCCTAATCCCTAGTTTATTATAGAAAATTATCGAACTCGGTCGTCGTGCGCTAATCGAAAAATACAGCCAACTTCAAAGAGCTCGCGCTCCGTGCGCATCGATAAGCGGCTCGCCGTAGCATAAAGACAGTCTCTCCTCGTGGCGTATTAAAGCGGCGGCGAGAAGCCTCCTAAACGATCGCATCGATACGAAAAGATTTATTTCTCCATTAAGCCAGCGCGCCGCTCACCGCAGCCTCCATTATTGCGCGATTTGACGCTATATATTTTATTAGAACACGTTCCAAGACTTAACGCAAAACCACTGCTTAACTCCAACTCAGCGCAATCATATCAGATGATTAATACTTTTTTATTTATTCGCTAATAACCTAGAATGAATTGAAAACGAGTTCAGCTGGAAATTTTCTTCGAAAGTCGCATAATTACCGCGAGAAAATCACAGTAATCAATATAAACACTTGAGTTTTTGTTTTTTGTGAAAATTGCTTGTTTTTCGATACGAATTTTCAAGTGTCACGACTCGCCGGGATTGAACTTAATATGCACGATAATCGACGCGATAGATAACCATCTAACATTGGCTGATTAAGTCGGGAATTAAACGCGGCGTTGAAAATGCATAACGAGTGGCGCTGATAAAGTGCGTCGGTCGTTGTCGTAATCGTTTGCAATTTGTTTGAACGCGTGAAGCTTGCTATCGACATGGTGTGATTATGGCGTTTTCCTAGTTGACTAGCTTATAAATAAATAATGTGTGATGTTTTGCATTTGCATAGATTACAGATAATGCGATAATTTTATAGTAATTTGTTAACTTGCACGCAGAATAAAAAAAAACTATTTAATCAATATTTTTCTATTTTGTGAGATTTTACAAATAAATAAATAATACAAACGATGACAGTAATATCAACTTTGAACTTTAGTTCTCTTACATTTTCTATAACTGTCGATACATTGTATTAACTATTAGGTAAATATTTCATGTTTGATATTTGCTGGAACTTGTAAGTTATTGTTAGTGTTCTTAAACATTGTAGAAGTGGGTATGTTAGTTATGTGGCGTCATAATCTAATTTTATGAACACATTTAAAATGTCATGCATAATATGCAACAACTTCACTTTGTTTAAAGTTTTGATTGCGTCGTGCCTAAAAGTGTTACGAGAATATGTAAATTTAAAACGTTGGATATTTATTTTTGTAAAAAATGTTTTTTACGACCAATTTTGAAATACTAGTGAGAATTTTATGTCAAACTAACACAAACATTAAATAATGCAATCCATGTACAATTTTACATTAAAAAACAAACAATTTAGAAACAATGTACAGTATTTTAATGCATTTTTATTGATGCGATCGGAAGTTATACTGCAAGTCCAACATTGGGACATTATATAACATTAGGCAACTTTACTGACACATCACACCATTCTAGTATAAAGCTATCGATATTTATTCTATAAAAACAACTTTTGCCATTGATTTTGAAACTTTTTGGCAAATTTTACATCAATTTTGCTCAAAAATCTAATAAAAAAATCAACCAATTATATTTTTCACTATTTTCTGACATATTTAGTCACATCTAATCTGTGTGATCGGAAGTTATACTGCAAGTCCAACATTGTAGGTATCACTTTAGCTACACTAGGCAACTTTACTTACACATCACTAATAGGTACTTATTTTCTCCCACATTGTATAAATTAATCCCAGAATTAAAACTCTCCCATTCTATTATCTCCGCCGCGTATTTCAATCTGCTAATGCAAATAATGATGATAATGCATATTACACGCGAGTAATATAAAGTAAGTAATGTATATGCGGATTGAATGCGGTTGGCGGCGGCGCATTTACATACTATATTTCCTGTCCGGTATCACTTTCCTAGCCCTGCTGTAAGTATATTGCGAGATAAGGCACGATCCCACCATTAGAGAGATGACTGGCGGTTCCGGCGGCGTCTGGGTGCGAAAGCAGGGCGCAAACCAGACGCTGAGAGTTCTCCACTCACGCCGCTAGACAAGTTGGCAATGAATTCATGACTCTTCAGAATTAAGACTCGCGAATAGGCAAGAAGGGAACTCAAGATGAAAAATTGCATTACTTTCATTCATTCATTCATGTAGTTGCAACCATTTATCAATAAATTGCCACAGGAATAGGAAAATAAAATTATTTAACGCCTGGGCAGTAAAGTTTTGCTTTAATTTTAAGGAAAAATATCAAAATCGGTAAAAAATGTTTTTTTCTGAATTTTTATTTGTAAAATTTTGATGTTTTACGAAAAAATGAGATTTTACTTTAATGCCTAGGCAGAAAAATTACCTATATTTTTTTGGTAACAAAACTATTTATGATGATTAAAAGTAAAATTTTCGTTTATTTTGTTTTAATTTGATGTAAAATCAATGAAAATCAATGAAAATCTTTAAACATCGAAGACATTTATTGATAACGGCTTTATCCATTCGAATTCCTGCGTAAATCAATTATAATAAAAGCGTAAATCCTACTGTTATTAATGTTACACATGTGAATCCATGCATGTGTCTGCCCGTTGGGGAATTTATGTAATAAACGTTTTTTTCCGCCGCATCGCGAGCAGATGTCCGCGCGCAATCGAAAAACGCCTTATTAGAAAACAGGCGCTGACGTTAAACGAGCGCTGATTATCTCGCCGAGGCGAGCGCGCCCGATTCATTATCATTGGAATCCCGAATGGAAATGAATTCCGATCGAATCCAACGCTTGTTGAATTACCAAGAAGCGGCAGACTCTGAGGAGACGTATAAAACATGAATCGGACCGCTTTGGGACCTTTGAAAAAAATAAATAAAAGGGTTTCAACTAAATAACAAACACAAAACACAAAAATACAAAAAAATCAAATAAAAAGATAAAAAAAAAATTAAAAAATGGTTGAATATAAAGAAAAAATGTACAAGAAGTAATTCTGATGTGATTTCGTCATATCATGGTCACATGGTCGTCCAGTGGTTGCACGAATGTGTTAACAGCTTGTTCGGTGTTCGCTCCCAATCGGAAAACCTCATCGTTGGCAGCGCATCTCACGCGCCGAGCTTTATTCCATCTCACGGATTCCTGTTGGTCGGGACGAGCAAAAAAGCACAGCACGCCGAGCCGCAGATGAAAAGAGACCGAACGATCGATTGATGTTGCGTACGATCGTTAAGTTGGCACTCGTGAGCAAGCAACTATGCTCACCTCGGCGCGGACCACACACGTCGAAAACCTCGCCGAGACCCCGCGGAGTATGCGCGTACTCCCACTCCCCGACGCAGGTACATAAAACTCTTGCAACTCAGCCGCGAGATTCACAGATGGCGTTGATGTGTTTGATTTAGCCGAAGAAAGGCGCCAGATTGATTTTCGATAAGAGTGGTGGTGTAAAAGGCGCACGCGTGCAGGGTGCGCCTCAGATTTATTTCGAATTCCAACAAACACCACACGCATTCCTAGAAATGCATCAGATGACGGGTTAACTCACCCTTAAGAAGAATAAATCACTTATTTATCAGATTTACGTAAAACAAAGAATTTTTTAAGGTTTTTCACATTTTTTTTTAAATTAAGCCCGAATTCTTTCTAAAAAAGCATCCCTTGGGTGTTATTTTGTTCTTTTATTGAATAGGGCAAGTCGGGGTGGCTTTTTTGCACGCGTACGCTTGTTACACACCGCGTCCCTAAATATTATCATCCCCTCAAAGTGTGAACACGCTTCGATTAGGCGTGCAGCAATATTACGCTTAAACCAACACTTAAACCAACATGGGGTTTGATTTATTCAACTCCCCTCGGCATTTATTCGCGTGATGCGCCTGGATACGAAAAAGGATGAAAGGAATAAAGGAAGTAATGAAAAAAAGAGGTGTAAGCAGTTTTTTTCTCATTTTCTTAATTAAAATTCTTCAACTGACGCAGAAAAAGAAGAGAATTGTATTTTATACAGTTTTGAAATGTTATGAAATGGTTTTATCCAGCGCACAGTTTGTTCATTGTTTGTTGGTCGTTTGATCGACGATGAATAAAACGCGATAAGCGCACGTTTAGCACCGCACAATAAATAAAACGACAATACGCGTCGCGCGCAGACGCAGGTATCTTGCATCTGACACAATCCACTGACACGACCCAATCAACAATGCGCGCGCCGCGACACTTGCAAGAAATCAGCCCGTGCGCGCACGATTTCGTGGCTTATCTATGTGGAGTCATCGCAAGTCAACTTCGGAGCGACGTTTTGTTAATCTAGTTGTTGATGCGGTTCTACAGCACTCACTTTGATAATATCCATCTACCAACATAACAATAGCTTATGTAATCAATCTGATAAACACAAAAACTACCAAAATCATAAAGAAATTAAATTTTAAAATTTTAATTTGATTTTATTTTATTGTGTAAAAATGTTGATTGCGAAACGATGACATTTTTATTAACACCGAACGTGTTTCTCCGCGACACCTTTTATTAATTCCACAGATGTCGTTGTAATTATACGCCGCAAGAATGTGACGACGACTAAATGCGCGCGCGGATAATTTGAATTCGCCGTCTTGGGCACATAATTTCGCAGAAATCTGCGCGCTGTGATGATCATATTAAGATGTAAAATGCGTGGAAAAGTGTCGTGACTATTGCGGAATCAATAATCACCCCTCGGGTGTCGGTGCGAAATGCAAAACAACACTTTTCCGTCCAAAAATGGCGCGTGGCTGGTGAAATCGAGCCATAGCGGTTTAGAGAGCGGCTAATTAGAATACGAAAACGGTGTGAAAAATGTTAATAAGCGCCAATGGTGATAAAATATGCGCGGACATATGCAATGTAATGTGCTTTATTTGTTGCAATAGATCTCAGCTGAGATAAACTGTGTAAATTATTATTATTAGGCACTATAAGCATAAAATGAGTTAGAGCAAGACTTATTTTGGGCAAAAACAAATAAAAGATATTTTTTTGATTTATTTTGTGATAAAATTTGGAATTTTGAGCTTTTGCTATCAAAACAAAATAAAAATTACTTTTTGGTTCAATATTTTTGTCAAATCTAATGAAAAGCAATACAAACTTTTAAGTTACAATAAAATGAGTCAATTTTAATTTAAAAAACAAAGAAATAGAAGCAAAATTTTAACAATTTTGCAAAACAAATAATTTTTTGGGTTTTTGTGTTGTTAATCATAAAATTTTGACTAGATAACTATCTAAACATAATAAAAATTATTTTTTAATTTAATATTTCAAGGAAATTTATCAAAAAAAACCCAGGAAACATTTTTCTATGAAACATTTTTTGCGATTTCTATAAAAATATCAAAAAAAATCATAATCGACATCAAAATATTTTTAAAACATAAAAAATTGGCATTTTATCAACTAAATGAGCAAAATTTTTAGAAAAAAACTTGATAAATTTGATTTTAAATATTTCAATAATTGACTTTTAAATACTCACATAAATTAATTACAAGCATTAAGTAAGTTATAAAGTAATTTTTTACCAGAGTAATGAACTTGTTTCTCATAGCCATAAATCTCATGATGTAAGTACTTTTCGCACAATTAAATTCGACTTAATAAAATGAGAAACATCAAATTTGTGTGTCGAAATTAATTAGTTTAATGGCATGTTCGAAACAAAATCGTAATTAACCGCAATTAAAATGATTAGACTCAATTCACGTTTTAGTTTTTAGTTTAACTACAGATCAATGTACTTTTATTACAAAAAAATTATAAAAATACGTAGTTCTAACGTAAGCCGTTAGAAGTATTGTAAAATACTTCATTTTTCACACATTAAAATAACTCACTTGACAACACGAGGTTTTACTAACTTTCAACAGATTAAAATGACTATTCCGCGTTGCCAACAAAAGAAACAATGCCTGAATGTGCTCGTTTCACCTGCAAAGAACAAATCGATTTAGCCACGGTTAGTTGTGCATAAATAATCGCTACAGAATATCTAAGTGTACCTAGTCGACGCCTTGCCTGAAATTTACATTTTTTCTATTTGCTTTTTTCGTTTTTCGTTTTTCGTCCGAATCCAATATTTTAAGTAGGCATTCGAGTTGGAGTCATTTATCAAAAAGTTGTTTGGATTTGTGTGTGCGTATCGAATACATTTTGCCGCGTTGCCACCCTTACCTGTCAAAATACGACAAAATATTTTTCCTAAATGGACTACACTCAACCAACTCAACTATTCAACATCCAAACATTTCCAAATTTCAAAATACTATAAATGGTCGATTGGAGACTGGCATAGGCGAGACGAATACGGATTTACACACACCTACATAATTTTACATTTTTGACTTTTACATCTTCAAATATTGTATTTGAATCTATTTGAATCCGAAGGTAGGTAGGTATACGTTTTTCATAACCGGAGGTGTGTCGAAAGCACAGGCAGCACGATTGCTATTCAGGTGGTTTGCAGACAAACGCGATTATTTGCAAACAAAACTACGGGTGGCGATTAGGCTCACTGCTGCAAGGAAAATCGGAAAATCAGGTGTAACGAGGTAGTTCGGTGAATTTTATCCAGCAATTATACAAATTCGGTGTGTCAGCGTCAAGAGAATATCGGGACAATGTCACAATTGGTTTTGGTGAAAGAAAACAAGCATAAACAAGAGTAAACATTGAGGAAAACGACAAGAAGTGACAACGTAGAACGAATCAACTTGGATTTTTGAGAAAAAAGTTAAAAGAAAAACGAAAATTTTTGTTGTTTTTTTAAAATTCTGCTTGTTTTAAATTAATATTTGGATATTTTTACATTTACACAATCTGAACAAATGAGAACATGATTTTTTAAATTAAAATTCTTAGTAAAATTTAGCAAAAAACAAAGAAATCATGTTTTGAAAAATATTTTCTATATTTTGATTAAAATTGTCAAAAAACAGGAAAAATGTCATAATCGGCGTTTTTTAATCAAAACATTAATTAAACATAAGTTAAACAATGTAAAAATAGTTCCAAAGTACTATTTACAACAAATTGACGTGGATTTTGGCAAAAAAGTAAAAAAAATTCGAAATTTTTTGATTTTTTAATTTTGCTTTTTTTAATTTAATACTTAGATACTCCCAGACAGTTTACTTTTTTGGGGACGTAGGTATTCTCAAAACAACCCTTGTATATCCCCTGCATACCACCCCTAAGTGTTTTATTGCGTCGTTTTTCTCCCTGACTTTTTATCCAAACTTATTTATCGTTTCACGAATGTATCTTTTAATTCGCTTCCCTCATTTCGCATGCATATCGCGTTCTCACGTAACGCCATCTGCATTTCATTACCTCCAGCCATAAGTATAACCTCAAAAACTCTCCTATCTACGCTCAGTATTTTTTGCAAAACGCAAATGACCAAAACCGTTTTGTTTTACGTTTATTTCTATGTTTATGAAACATTTACACTGGTAATTCACGCGAATCGAAAAGAAACGCGCCGCACCATTTGTGTTATGAGGCTTGTTTTTTTTTGTGGAAATAACAAGCGACGTCGTTGTTAGTGCGGCGGTTGTCATCAGCGTTTTCAGCGTCTTCATATCTCTTGTCGTGTTTTTAAACCCATGGTGCCGTGTGGTTGAAGATGATTGCGCCGCTTCGTTACCGTCGCGCAGCTCGTGCGCCTTTCGTCTTTCGCCAGTTTTTATCGCCGCGTTCGCATGCTCGTGCGCTGTTTACGTCGGATTCCACACAAAGACATAATTTTATTGCTTTCTATAATTGCCGCGTTGTTTTTGCAGCGCGCTTTTTCCTCGGCGACGTGGATTTCTTTTGTCTTTCTTTGGTCACGTTCGTCAAGGAATTAATTAGACTTAAAAGGGAATTGCTTAATTTTATTACAGCACATTAGTGGAAATTTGCCAAGCCAAAAATAATCAAATATTTAATTTTCAAGACCTTTAATACCAGAGATAAATTGTCTCTTTCCATAAAAGGTCGGGATTTGGCATGGTACAATGAAGTTTTGTTAAAGGATAACTTGAAAAATTGAAAAAAATATAGGGAAGGTAGACTAATTTGGACCAGCGCCTAAGTTGGACCACCACGATATCCGCGAACTGTTGAAGTTTTTGCAAAAATAGACAGGCCCCTTGTTTTACTCGTATTTATAAACAATTGATGCAACTATTTGAGTTAAAACTTGCCGCGTGCTTTCGTCGTGACAACAACTTTGTGTATTCTTGATTATCAAATCTATTATAACGACGTAAGTGCATAAGCTGTCAAGCTGTTTAAACGTTAGATTTCACAATTATTATTATATCATCAGAAAGCTTATTTATTTATCTATAATTTATAGTATTAATTTGGAGAGGTTTTGTTATATTAAGATTGTTGTTGATCATTATATATAAATTCTTCAAGTTGCCCAAGTTGGACCGAAGACAGGCACCGGGGTTTTAACAGGGAAAACGTATATCATTTTTTCGACCTCCTAGAAAAGCTTGTGGACGAGCACAACTCTTCGAAATGATCCAGTGTATGAAATGCCGCACTTTGGTTTAAACAAAATGTGCTTGTGTTAGTGCTAAAACTAAAATTTACTATTGTGTAAATTGCCGTTAAAAAGCATGGTCCAATTTAGAAATCGCGCGGTCCAATTTAGGAAACCGGTTTCTTAATTTGGACCAAAAACACAATTTTTTTAAATTGAAATTTCAGGGGTATAAATATAATTTTTACTTAAATCAAAAATATCATTTTGTAGGTAAGCCTTGTGAGTTACTTTTCCGCTACTTAATTTTTATTGAGAGTTTATATGTGGCTCTATAAATCAAAAATATAAAATGGTCCAAATATGGCTACTTTCCCTATTAAATTTTTTAAATATCAGAAAATAATCCATTAGGATGACAAAAAATCAAATTTAATCCAATTTTCCTGAAACAAAGACTAAAATCTCCCAAAAACTGCCTAAAATCAAATGTGCTATAAAAGAATTTAACTTTTTTAAAATTCACCCTTAAAAACAATTTTCTAATTTTTGATTCAAACATGACTAAATTCTAATCTTATCTAAATTTATAATAAAAAAGCTTAAAGTCTCCCAAAAACTGCCCATAATCAAATGTGCTATAAAGAAATTCAACCCTTTTAAAATTCCACCCCTAAAACACATTTCATCACTATTTCCACTTCAAAACTAGCAAAAAACTGATTTTTTATTCATTTCTTTCTATAATCTTCCCAAAAAATAAAATACCAAGAACCATGAATAGACTTCGTCGGAAACATCCAAGAATTAACGACGCCGAGATCTCCGGCATAATTTCGGGACCTTTTATCCACCTCAACGTTGCGAAATAAATTATTTCAAAGGGAACAACAGACGATGGCACTTTCGACTCAGGTGGGCACACTCACACACCGAAACAGCAAACAAGCTCAACTGTAGATGTGTGTTGCCGGTGACACGTTTGTCGCACGGCATGTCGTGCGAGAGTGCATTGCGTGTGCATCCCGAGCGGTAAATGACACCCAAGCGCGCACACCGATTCAATAGGTTAATCCCTATGGTGACAGAATAAGTCATTCGGCGGCGAGTATTACCAACGGTGGCCGGGGCTCACCCACGCATCAAATTTTTATTTATCTATAAGTAGGTAGGTATAACATTTACACACATACCTATATCAGCAATCCGGCGGATGGCTGAGACTTGAGACCCACGCAAGCGTTCACACGATTAAATCATTCGACATTCAAACAAATTATCCTGCCAAAATCGTAACCTACGTTTTTTTGGTTTGAATTGAATATAAAGTGGTTTAGAGTAAGTGAAGGTACTTAACTTTGGAAGAGAAAAGGTTTGGGGTTGGGATAATTTGAATTAGTTCAAAGTCACGTTTTGGGGTTCACATTTGAATGTAAAATGCATTAGATTCGCTCATTTTAGGGATCAAATGAGTGCCAAAGCGAGATATCTATTAGGACGTGCCAACTTCATGCTTTCAACCGTGGGTTAGGAGATTATAACAATTGAAAAAAGGAAATAAAGGTTTTGATTTGTGTGGTCCCTGAATATATCATAATAATTGCGGATTAGGTAATGTATAGTGAATTGTTGAGTGTATCTACCCTACCACACACATAAAATCACAAAAAACTAAATTTAGAGTTAGATCAACGGAGAAAATCTTGAAATAGTCTATGTTATGACCAGAATAAGATCTGCTATAAAGGAATTCAAAGGTTTTGCAACCTGCAGATTCTGGGGGTAAAAATGTGTTTTATTCGTGGTAAATTGAGACCAAATTAATTAAAAATAATATGTTTTGGAAATATGATTGAGTAGATAAAAATAAATCAAATTTTTTTTTCAATTTTGAATTTTTAATTTTTATGGGTCCAATTTTGGAAAAATGTAATTTTGGTCGTAGATTATCGCGGAAAACTCTAAAATACTCCTAATTATGCCCAAAATAAGACCTACTATAAAGGACCTTCCTCCTATAAAAACTATAGCCCTGGGAGATAAAAATATATTTTCCTCTACCCAAAATCTTGATTAAAAACAAGTTAAACCATCAAATTTAACCAAACAACCATACATAATTACCCAACAAGTACAACTTCATACACTTATAAACAAATTGGCACTTATTCCATGTATCAATTATGCATACTTTTAATTAAGCCATACACTGACGTAACCCAGCTGGATACATCCTCAACCAATCAATTCAACTCTAGATAAACCATAATAAAACAATATCCGTGCAAAATCTATGCAAATTTCATTGAATAATTACTTAATCCCATATTGTTTGTTTTTCAACTTATATTTAAACAACTTATTTACACCTTACACTTACACCTATAAGATTGAAATACCCAACACAGAAAAAAAAACACAGTCGAGGTCTTGAGCAAACGTCGACGAAGCTTCGAAATCTATCAATTAGTTCTGCCACATTGATAAAACCATTATCGAAACCACTTATTAATCCCGCATATACGCACACGGTATTGAATTACAACGGCGCGCCGGAGCGACATGGCCACGCCCGTTACATCAGGCAAAACAAATACGACACGCGTACGTCTCAATTGCTCCCAAATACCCCACCATGCACAATCAAGCCAATTACGTGCAGGAACACTGGTGGGAGACCCGCCTTGTTCACCATTTGTGCACGTTTTTAAGGCGGTCCTAAACTGCTAGAAAGAGATAACCTATACAACCGTACAACTCTTATCCCACTATACTTTTGCATGAGTGGGACGCGCCGAGGTTATTGATATTCGTTAGAAGGAGACAACTGGAGACTGGTTTTCTTGTCCCCCGAGGGCATTTCATATTTTTTATACGTTTCTATTAAATATTCCAGCGGTAAACGCTTTCAAAAAATAATTATTATATTGTTTTAATAATATTTTTATTTACAGAATTGGTAATTTATACTTTTGAGAAAAAGTACCATGGATTTACATAGGTGGATGTATGAGTAAGAGAGAGATAGTTGGTGAGTTTGCGCGAGGGACGATGTGACGGTGAGCAAACACAATGGGCGGAGCCACTGGAGAGCCGAGACTTGAAGTAATAAAGATGACTATTTTGAAAACTCACTCAGTTTGACAGGGTACTTACACAAGTAAGCACTTGTTTAAGGCCTGGGACAAGTGCGACTCGGACTGTCACTCGTTGTCATCCGTCGTGGACATTTGCGTGTCTCCGGTCGTCGAGGACACAACCCAAACTCGAAATCTAACTCTACACGCGGATTGCGACTATATCAGTGCATTTATAACTTGGCCAGTGTTTGTTTAGTTGCCTAACTTAAATCGGAACATTTTTAAACTTAGAGTGATGGCGTTTGAAGACCGGTCAAGTCCTAACACGGCAACCAGCCCCAATTCAGACATCAACCATCAACACCACAACACTCCGAATTCACCAGAATCTACAAGGACATCACCATTTACCTGTACCATGATTTCTAAGACTCATCAGACTTATATCTCACCTCCTGCTTCACCAGTTTCACGAAGAGGTTTGGCTTTTGATTCTGTGAACACTCCAAGTGTGAAAATTGAACAACAGGAGAAGACCTTTTTGAGAATCACTTCCTATGCTCTACCAAGTCCCAAACATGAAGAGGACACTTCCTCGAGATACAGCCATTCGGAAGCTTCAAGTTCACCACCTCCTGATGATGAGGAACCCACGATACAGACTCTGAAGTATTCCATTACTAATATTCTACAACCTGATTTTGGAAAGTCTGCGGTCTTGAGGACCAAAGTTACTCCAAAGATTGCCTTCAAACCCTATGAATCTGATGTGAAACCATTCGATAGAGCCCCATTGGGGAGTCTGTGTCATGCTGTGTCTAGAATTGGTAAGAGTACGAATATCAAAAGCCCGGAACCAATTCCTCCTCCGAGGAAATCACCAAGTCCAGCTACACCTATACTGCCCTCACCGGAGGAGTTGACCAAAGCGAAGAGTGATGACTCTAGTGTTCCACAACTTTGGCCGGCATGGGTCTACTGCACGAGATACTCGGACAGACCTAGTTCAGGTAAAATATCTTTCAAGATAACCTTTAATTCTATTGTTTGGGTTTTGGCTATTGTTTAACCAAAGTTGATTTTTTGGTAATTAGTAGCTACTGATGTGTATCATGTGAGATGACGAAATGTGAAGTCTAATTAATTCGCTGAGATAACGTTCGTATTGTTTACTTTATCGCTGAAGAAATAACTTTCAACTGTAGTCTACACACCGAGCAAAATAAATTAGGGTGAAGTTTGTATAATAGCCGCATTTCTGAATTCCGATGATGCGATAAGCTTTACCAGCGGCGCGTAATTAATGTTTCTGCATGTCAAAGCTCAATTAGAAGGCTATAAAATAATAAAATTCGCTTGCTGAGTAAAATTCTTTAAAATAAAAAAAGTTCATTGGGTTGCATATATAACATGTGCATCTCTATAAAAATTTTATTTTATGATTTTATAATTTCGTGTGTTTTGCTTTGTTAATTCGTTAATCGATTTGCAAAGCAATTATTACAATTGCTTTTTAATAATAGCGCGCGCAGAGTGTAATTGCACATACGTTAAAAAAGTAATAAATTAATTAGAGCGATTATCGATCTGGTGGCTTTTGTTCCACGTAACAATTACACTAAACGCCGCGTAATGCGAGGGGATGCACGCGCTGTTTAGGAGAGTGTTTATTATCAAATCAAATATTCACTTCTGTAGATACGCGCGAGGTTGGCGAAACAAAACGAAACGTGCTTATTGTGCTCGACACGCGATCTACCTACGCCACAATACGAGTAATTATATTTCTTGAAACGACTAACGAGCTTAGCGTAGATCTATAATAAGAAAATATTTTAATTAATTAGTGCAATATTCAGTGCTTTCGTGACAAATTACACTCTTGATAAATATTTACTAGTAAAATTTAAAAAAAGATTTTTAACCCTTTTTGTAAGTAAAAATTTTAAAATATTTTATATTTAAGAATTTTGAAGCTAAAAATATCGCAAAGTTTGAGTTTTGAATGTTGGAGGTTCGCAGGCTTTTAAAAGCCACTTATCGTTGCGTTGACAACTTTACACCGCGTATATTACACACAAATTTAAGTGTTTCGGGCGAGTGATTGATGCACTTACTAGAAGCGCAACACATCGTTACATATCGCGATATTTGGTTCGTGAAAACATCGCGTAAAATCTCATCCGAAATGGATTGAAATGGCTTTTAAACGAGCGATGAAATATGTTAGCATGAGGTGTGACTTGAAATCTTGGTACCTAAAATTCTTGGTTATTTAATTAAGTAGAATGTTAAAATTTGTAATTTGTCATTTAGACCCTTGGGGGTTGTATAATGTGACCACAATTGTCATTTGGACCATCGTTAACATACCCCTTAAACCATTATTGTTCTATTATGGTTACAAAACGACCATTTATAAAATTAATTTCTAACCTCACTTAAATTTACACTTTTGTAATTTTGAAGTAAAATTTTTAATTTTTTGTTTCCAGGTCCACGATCAAGACGTATGAAGAAACCGAGCACTGGTCCGAAATCCAACGAAGATAAACGTCCGCGGACAGCGTTTTCCGGCGCACAATTAGCCCGTCTTAAACAAGAGTTTGCCGAAAATCGTTACCTCACCGAACGCCGCCGTCAGCAACTCTCCGCTGAGTTGGGTCTGAACGAAGCGCAGATCAAAATTTGGTTCCAAAACAAACGCGCGAAGATCAAAAAATCCAACGGGCAGAAAAACCCGCTCGCGATTCAATTAATGGCGCAAGGATTATACAATCATACAACTGTCGCGTGTGATGAGGACGATATGCCTATCACAACGTAAAATCATTCAAAATAACATAAATAATTAAATTAATAAAAAGCCAAATATTGATTTGAATTAAAATTGAATTTAAATTGAAGATCTCAGATAAAAATGCCAGAAAAAATTAAATTATGACGATTCAAAGGGTGAGAAATGTACAAAAGGAAACGCTTAATATTATAAATATTGTTGTAGACATTTTGAGATGTTTAGAGCTTTCGTTGTTTTGTTTAAACTCGTATTATTTTGTTAAATAGTTGTAAAAAATCACACACGATTCACCGAGTGGAATACAGTTCAGCAGTCACTTTGTACTAAAAATAGACTGATTCATTTTAATTATATTTAAATAATTACCTACATCAAAGGTGGCTCATGTTTTCACTCGACTCTTATTGAATATTGCAATATTTCAATTTAACACCTAATCAAACGTATCGGATTCAGATTAATCGAATAATTCACAAATTTTTGGTAAATAAAACTGAATATTCTACTATAATAGTGATAAGAATAATTCATGCGTGTTTCGCTGTGAATTAATAACGTGCAATGCTTCTTCTTCCCATCACATGCGTACGTATGCTAGATATGGTTATTTAATGTACATACTACTTTGATATACTTATACATGCTTAAGTTGTATTGATAAGAAATGTATTGTGTTATTATTGTATTTCTATCGCATATGATTGTGTGGATGACTGAATGACTGATCAGATTTAAAGTGTATATAATAAAGTACTAAATATTACATTAAAAAATTATTTTTGTTTTTTTGAGGTTAGAAACCTAAATTAATAAGAAATATAGGGGAAAGTAGCCATATTTGGACCATTTTTATATTTTTTGATTTATAGAGTCACATATAAACTGTCAATAAAAATTAAGGAGCGGAAAAGTAACTCACAAGGCTTACCAACAAAATGATATTTTTGGTTTAAGTAAAAATTATATTTATACCCCTCAAATTTCAATTTAAAAAAATTGTGTTTTTGGTCCAAATTAAGAAACCGGTTTCCTAAATTGGACCATGCTTTTTTAACGGCAATTGACACAATAGTAAATTTTAGTTTTAGCAGTAACACAAGCACATTTTGTATAAACCAAAGTGCGGCATTTCATACAGGGGATCATTTCGAAGATTTGTCCTCGTCCACAAGCTTTTCTAGGCGCTGGTCCAAATTATGCTACCTTCCCCTACTTGCAGTGCACCATTTTTATTCGAAACAAAAAGCGTGAGACATAAATTTTCGCATATTAATTGATTTCTAAAGAAATTAGGTTCATAAATATCTGCAACTTGTTCTACTTGTCAATTTAAAGCTACTTCTGAGTAATAAGTTGCCTATATTTATTTATTTTTTACTTTTTTGCATTTAATTTAACGTAATTAATAATAATTTTAATATTTTTTATTTATTTCCTTTTGTCTTCTGAAAGCTATTCCTGATCAATAAGTTGCCTATATTTATTTATTTTTTCCTTTATTGAATTTAATTTAACTTAATTAATAATAATTTTTATATTTTTTACTTATTTCTCTTCTTTTCAACAGATTTCTACACATATGCAACTTTTTCTACTTCCCTACTTGTCTTCTGAAAACTACTTCTGATCAATAAGTTGCCTATATTTATTTTTTCTCAAATGCACTCAATTTGAAAGTCTCGTTAAATCGTTGAATGTCATTCGGATATTTATTCGTAAAGGCTGTGGTGCGGTGCGTGCGTGCGACTACTGTTTAAATAAAATAATACGCCGATAAACATACCTGCGCTTTTTATTAGTGCCACACGCGCGGCGCGCAATTTCTGCGCGCACTTTGCGTTAATAACGCTTATGCACGTCTGATTATTCTATTAATGCATATTCCCAGAACTTGCCGCCGCAATCGCAATTGCGTTTAGCAATACGTACGAACATATAGCAATACAAATACGCATTTGGATAATATGCGGTCTATAATAAGCGGCAATCACATTGGATTCCACTTAGTCGTGATAATGCAATGTTGAAAAAACAAGAGGAAGAATTTTTATTGCGAACAAATTAAATGCGTGATTATTTTTATTACCAATTTTCAGAAAACAGATAGTTAGGGGAGACTGGGTACGGTTGTGCCAGGGTACGGTAGTGACAGTCGTCATAATAACGAAACTATACGTCATTCGTGGGAGGGTGCAAGAGGAAAAAGAAGCGGGGTGCAAATTTGAATGCTTTCCCTAGTATTGCATCAGTCATTGCGCGACGTTAACGTAACTAGGAGCCCACATTGCTTTTTGACAGTCAAAAGTAAATATTTTTGTACGGCTTCACTTAATAATTACTGTTGTTTGTATACAGATAGATTACTTCTGTTTTTTGTTTCTTTTAAATTGAACATTGGTAGTTATTTATAAGCATTTGCTTTTTACGTAGATTATTCGACAAAGTCATGGCGAATTTTTGTTTTCGAAAAAGAGGTTCGGGTACGGTTGTGACAAATTTTGTGGGTACGGTTGTGACATTACTATAGTTGTTCTTTTTTGCTTCTAGATGCTTTTTTGCATTTTTTTTTCCTTTTTTGTATTCCCGTGAGTACGTTATCATGATCATTTTGTTAGAGATGGACCGGTGGGATCAATTGGAACTGTAAATCCTTCAGGTTGGATGCAGGATGACTCATTCTTAACATTTCTCGAACATTTTAAGAAATTCTCGAATGCTTCTCTAACACATCAAGTTTTTCTATTGCTGGATAATCATTCCTCTCACATTCATATTAATGCACTAGATTTTTGCCAAGGGAATAGCCATTTTAGTGTATGTTTTTGCATGTCACAACCGCACCCAACCACTGTCACAACCGTCCTTGGTGTGTGGCCGGTTGTGACAATTTGACTTTTTTTTTTAAATTTATCTTATTAGTTATACGTCGTATTTAGGGCCAACATTTTAGTATTCTTGTATAGATAAATGTACAAATTACCATAAAAGTTACTTTTCTACGATCTAACTGGTAAATTAACAAAACTATTGGTAATCAAACACAAATTGTCACAACCGTACCCAGTCTCCCCTACCGATAATCACTAGGGTGCAAATAATTATTTTTTGCGATTATTTTACATTTCAAAATATTTTTGGAAAAAAAGTAAAGAAACCTTCCTCAAATAATTTTATTTTTTGCTATAAAAACGTATTGAATTGATTTTGGTGCTTAAAATTGTATTTTACACACTTAAATTCCTGTTTTCCAAGTATTTTTAAAAGAATATAACAAAAAACCACAAAATTCTCTAGAAAAATGTGTCAATTTTCATCCTTTTAGAAAATTTTATGTAAAAATTGCATTTTTGCACACAAGTGATCAAAAATAACAAGAATTAACATTTAACTTACCTACTTAAAAATTCACTTAAATCAATTCTCTCAAACAATAAAATCAAAATAAACAAATATTTCTATTTTTTTTCATAATTTTATTCAATCTAACCTCAAAAAAACACTCAGTCTGTTATTCAACTCGCTAATTTCCCAACACATATACCTAATAATTTATTAATTGAAAACTTTTTCTTTAAATTTCTTGTTGGTATTGACAGCTTATGCCAATAGGTATATCCCGCCTTTTCATGCCAACGATTAATCATCATGTTATTCAACTAATAACAAACTGACGCATAATAATTAATAAATTGATCTACACTGGCACAAGCCTTTTTTGCATTGCGTTTTCATTATTTTCCATACACTCTTACAAACCTACTATAGGTACTATTAAGTAGGTAATATGAGTGTACGTATTTTATATTTATAGTTACCTATTTGTTTAGTACCAAAGTAATTAATTACATTGTGCTATGATTATATTACAATTAGCTCACGCTGAACTTTACACCGATCCTTATTCAGATTTTATTGTTAATTAACTATGTTAGCTATGCATAAGTACTAATCAACTAATTATAAATTCGATTAAATTTCTAATTGTTTGCAAAACAAGAATTTGAAATATTTCAAAGTAAAATGTTCATCACAGCTTAAAATTCAAGAAAATTCAAGGAATAATTACGCTAAATGAAAATTTCAATTATTGACGATAAATTTAATTATAAATCATAAATTAATTACATTTACAATGATTTATTGTGTTGATTAAACAAAGATCAAACACCAACTCAATTTGCAATTATAAAAATGATTTTACAATCAAAATTAGAATGATTACAGCAACATTTCTGTTGCAACACTTTAAAATTCATTTTCTATTTCCATTTTTAAAACGTCAGTTTTCCACGGTTTTGAAACGCAAAAAGTGGCACTTTACACACGGACGGCCAAGGCCGTGACTAAAGTTGAAATATAAAAATCTCAACGTGGAAATAAAGCGGAATTAGGAAAAATAGCGTAAGCACGTGGCTAAACGTTGATAAAGTGCCGTTTAGTGCACTTGATACTTAATATAGGGGAAGGTAGCCTAAGTTGGACCAGCGCCTAAGTTGGACCACCACGATATCCGCGGACTGTTGAAGTTTGTGCAAAAATAGACTGGCCCCTTGTTTTACTCGTATTTATAAACAATTAATGCAACTATTTGGGTTAAAACTTGCCGCGTGCTTTCGTCGTGATAACAACTTCGTGTATTCTTGATTATCAAATCTATTATAACGACGTAAGTGCAAGAGCTGTCAAGCCGTTTAAACGTTAGTTTTACCGATTTTTATTTTATCATCAGAAAGCTTCTTTATTTATCTATAATTTATAGTATTAATTTTGAGAGGTTATGTTATATTAAGATTGTCGTTGATCATTAAATATAAATTCTTCAAGTTGCCCAAGTTGGACCGAAGACAGGCACCGGGTTTTAACAGGGAAAACGTATATCATTTTTTTCGACCTCCTAGAAAAGCTTGTGGACGAGCACAAATCTTCGAAATGATCCTGTGTATGAAATGCCGCACTTTGGTTTATACAAAATGTGCTTGTATTAGTTCTAAATCTAAAATTTACTATTGTATCAATTGCCGTTTAAAAAGCATGGTCCAATTTAGGAAACCGCGTGGTCCAATTTAGGAAACCGGTTTCTTAATTTGGACCAAAAACACAATTTTTTTAAATTGAAATTTGAGGGGTATAAATATAATTTTTACTTAAACCAAAAATATCATTTTGTTGGTAAGCCTTGTGAGTTACTTTTCCGCTACTTAATTTTTATTGACAGTTTATATGTGGCTCTAAAAATCAAAACATATAAAAATGGTCCAAATATGGCTACCTTCCCCTACCATTATTCCTTTTAATTTTGTTAAATAAATTTTTTTATTTTTTGAATTTTTGTATTTTTGTGTGTTGTAATAAATGTCCTGCTTTGTGCGCGTGTGATCTGCCTCATTAAATGCAGAAAATCGAAACCGAAATACCATTTCTCTGGCGGCTAATGTACTTTGACAAACATCACACACGCTTTAGCACCTTTTCACACACACCGCACGCGCAGTTGGCGACGAAAATAATTGCTAATTAACACTCGCGCAGCATCGCTTTGACACATCAAACGCCACACACTGCGCCGCTCGCATTAATAATAATTATTCTACACAACATTAATAATAATTTCACCTGGCATTAAGCGCGTTATTTTACGACAATTTCGTTGCTTGCGCCTTTTTTCGCTCGGTGTGAAGACTTAGAGGTTCGTTTCACACGTAAATACTTATTTTATACTTATTAAAACATTATAAGGTGATGAATTATTTTAATTAACAAAGAATAATGATAT